TCACCTACCTCACTAGGTTATTTATACACAAAATTAGGGTATAATAAAATCCTAAATATCCTTTAACAAAGATATAAAAAGATCTAAAAAGATATTCCTAAAATTTATATTTACCCAAAACTGACAACACTAATTTCATCCCTCAAACTAAGAAATTGATGAGTCTTGATAGCCTTTGTTAGAACATCTTCCAGCTACTTTTGGGTGCTACAGTGCATAACTTCTAATATTCCGCTCTGAACTTAATTTCTCAGAAAGTGATACTTGGTCTCAATATGCTTACTTCTCCCATGCAGCACTGGGTTCTTGGCAAGATTTATTGCAAACTTGTTATCAATCATCAGCTTCAGAGGTTTATTTACCTCAATCTTTAGATCTTTCAGCAAGTTTAGAATCCACACAGCTTGGCATACAGTCAGAGCGTCTGCAATATATTCAGCTTCACAGGTTGACAGCGCAACAAGAGGTTGCTTCTAGGAACACCAAGAAATAGAACCTCCCAGACATTTGAATAAGTATCCAAAAGTACTTCTTCTGTCAACTCTATCTTCACACCAATCAGAGTCTGAATAACTCAGAGATTCTGATTCGATCTTTCTTCCAGACGAAAATAACACTTCATACTTTAGAGTTCCCTTCACATACCTCAGAGTCCTGACAGCAGCTTGGTAATGAGACAACTTTGGTCTACTCATAAATCTTCTTACCATTCCAACTATATAGCAAATATCAGGTCTGGTATTACACAAATACCTCAGAGAACCAAAAAACTGTTTGAAGGTTGTAGCATCCACATCCTCTCCATCAGAATTAGAGTCCAACTTCTGATTCGTATCAGAAGGTGTGATAGCAACTTTGCAATTCTCTAGCTTAAATCTCTTCAGAATCTCAAGTTCATACTTCATCTGATGCAAAATGATTCCTTTCTCAGAGTACATAAATTCCATCCCTAGAAAGAAACTCATTTTCCCAAGATCTATCATCTCAAATGCATTCATCAGAACTTTCTTGATCTCAACTATCTCTTATTCAAAACTTCATGTGAGTAATATGCATCAACATACAAACAGACCATAATCATATTAACTTCTAAAGTATGCGGAACATAAACACCATACTCCATCTCACACTTCTAAAACCCTTGTCCCGTGAAAAATGAATCAATCTTCAAACTCCAAGCTCTTGGCGCTTGCTTCAATCTATACACGACTTTGTGTAATTTGAACACCGTCCCTTCCTGATACTTTTTCTCAAATCAAAGAGGTTGTGATACATATACCTCTTCTTGTAATGGACCATTCAAAAATGCATATTTTACATCTAAGTGCATCAAAGGCCAATTCCCGTTATCAGTTATTGCAATCATAAATCTGATTATTTCATATCTCGTTATAGGTGCAAACACTTCAGAGTAATCTAGCCCAGGCTTCTGTAGAAAGCATATTGATACTAATCCTTCTTTGTGTTTTCCAATTGATCCATCTGGCTTTAGATTCTGCTTGAAAACCCATCTGACGCTGATGGCTTTCTTGCCTTTTGGAAGTTCTGTCAGCTTCTAAGTCTTGTTTCTCTATATAACATCAAGTTCTTCTTTCATGGACTTCAACCAGACTTACTTCTTAAAAGCCTCTTCTGTAATAACGGGTTCAGAGTCTACTAACATTCCTTCGGAGTCTACTTCAGTGTCTTTCAACATGTCAAACTCTGCAAATCTTCTTAGGATGCTTCTGACTCTTTGTTGCCTTTGAACTGGAACTTCAGAAACTTGGACACCAGAACTTTCCCGTTCAGAAGCGCTTGCTTCGGAAATTGGACTTTCTCCAGAAACTTGACTGTCTTCAGAGTCTGGATAACCATCGGAGTCAGATTCAGAATCATCTTCACCTTCCGAATCTTCTTCAGAGTCAGAGTCTTTACCAGCTTCAGAAACATGTGTTTCTGACTTTTCTTCAAGAGTTCTCTCATCAGATTCAGGACGAGACCTTTCCCAATTCCAGACTTCTGATTCTTTTACAATGACGTCTCTGTTAAACTCTTTATTAGTTTCTGGACAATAAAGTTTGTACGAGTCTGTACTGTGGTACCCCACAAGTAACATTACTTTACTTCTATCATCCAGTTTCTGTCTTCTGGCTTCTGGGACATGTTTGTAACATACAGAACCAAAAACCTTCAGATGACTAACACTTTTCTTATCTCCAGTCCACTTCTGAACAAGAACTATTTCCTTCAATTTCTTCGTTGGGCATCTGTTGAGCACATAACATGCAGTGGCAACAACTTCTCCCCACAGAGTACGAGGAAGCTTCTTCTCTTTTAGCATGCTTCTCACCATATCAAGCAAATTATGATTTGTTCTTTCAGCAAGACCATTGTGTTTAGGAGTATACGGAGTAGTAACCTCATGCTCAATTCCATTCTCCTCACAAAACCTTCGAATTATGTGGAGTTATACTCACCACCACCATTAGTTCTAAGAATCTTCAGAGTCTGGCTATTGTGATTCTTAGCCTTCAGTGTGAACTTCATGAATTTAGCAAACACCTCGTGTTTGAACTTTATGAGAGATAACCATGTCATTCTGGTGAACTCATCAATGAATAACACAAAGTATTTATTCCCTCCAGTTCATGCTACTGGAAATGGACCGCTTACATCAGAATGCACTACTCCTAAGGCATGCTTTGCTCTTGGAGATAGTTCTGATGCAAATGGTAATCTTGGTTGCTTCCCTTTCATGCACACCTTGCATGACTTTTTAAACTTCTTGATTGTAGGAATTCCATGTACCAGATTCTTTGATTTCATAAGTCCTAAGCTTCTGAAATTCAAATGACCAAATCTTCTGTGCCACAACTCACCCTCCTTGACAACACTTGTTGCACTAAGGCATTCAGAGTCTGCAGTTCTAACATTCACCTTGAATATTCTGTTCCTTTCATGTTCTGACTTCATAATCAGCTTCTGATTATAGTAATACAGCTTTAGAAGATTATCCTTCATGGTAACCGAAAAACCTTTCTCAACTAGTTGTCCCACACTTATCAGATTGCTTTTCATGCCAGGTACATACCATACATTTTAGATCACGACTGCTTTCCCATTGTTTAGAATGATTCTGACATTTCCCATACCTTCTGCATTGAGGTATTTATCATCAGCACATCTGATCTTTGTACTCTTCCCAGAATCAAAATCAACCAACCATTTCTTATTTCCAGTAAGATGGTTTGAACACCTTGTGTCCATATACCATAATTTTGATGAATTCATATTATCAGATTTAGAGGCCAACAATAGCACAGGTTCATCATCAGACTCTCCTCTGGCTATATTTTCTTCTTCTGACTTCCTTTCTTTGTTTGACCAGTAATCTTTGGCATAGTGAGCAAAGTTCTTGCAACAGTGACACTAAATATTCTTCTTTTCATACTTCTCCTTTTCCTTCTGGACATTCTTCTGCCTATCAGAGTTTGAAGCTTCTGACCTTTCACCACCATTACTTTTAGAGCCTGCTGCTCTACTTCCCTCTCAGAAGTTCTCGTAGTCATACGCAACTCATGTACCTCTAGACTACTTTGCAGATCTTCAACTCTCATGGTGCTCAGATCTTTGGAATGTTCAATTGCTACCATAATGTAATCAAACTGAGAAGTTAAAGATCTCAAGATCTACTCAATGATTACTTGTTCAGAAAGGGTTTCTCTACAAGCTTTCATCTCATTAGTGATCAGAATCACTCTAGAGATGTACTCAAACTTTTTTGTTGTCCTTCATGTTGAGATTCTCATTTTTCTTTCTGAGAGACTGAAGCTTCACCTTCTTTACTGATGTGTTACCGCTGTAACATCTGACCAGTGTGTCCCACCCAGCCTTTGCTTTTTCAGAATCAATAATCTTCTCAAACACATTCACATCCACACATTGATGGATGTAGAACAACGTCGTCTGATCTTTCTTCCTTAGCGACTTCTGTGTCATCTTTTGTGCCTCAGTTGCGCCTTTATAGCCATCGGTGACAAGATCTACCACATCTTGAGAACCAAACAACAAGCGCATCTGGATCTTCCAAAGATTCTAGTTTTTGCCATCAAAAACTGGAAGCTTGGAATGGATATCGCCGTCGTTTCCATTCATCTTCTACCTTGTGTAATTTACGCAGAAACTCAATAAAATAATGTTTCCCAAATTAAACAGATTCAGAATATTGTAATTCTCAATCACACAATACTTTTCCCGTGGGTTTCGAACCGGAGCTCTGATACCAATTGTTAGTGCACAAAGAAGAGATGAAAGGCAAAAGAAATATATTTAATGACGGCTAAAAATAAGAAATAATAATTTACAATGAATTACATAGACCTACCTCATATGTTATTTATACACAAAATTAGAGTATAATAAAATCCTAAATATCCTCTAACAAAGATATAAAAAGATCTAAAAGAATATTCCTAAAATATAAATTAATATCTAAAAAAATATTTCTAAAATATAAATTAATTCAACCAATGTTAAAGTTATTAAATTTAACTTTATTGACTTTTAAAACATTTTACAAGGGCCTCAGCATATACTTAAGAGACAAATGTAAGTGATTCAAAAAGTGATGAAAATTCAAATCAAGACATAATTAAGATGGAAGAAAACATCACTCAATTAAGAAGCATAACAATTCAGCATAACATGAGAGTCATACACATAAAGCACATCTAGGGCAAGAAGGGTCATCAAACTCTACACATAACGGAAAATATGCACAAGCAAACACAATATATCTAGAAAACTTAAGCACATTAGTTTACAGATACAATCCAAACTCACATGACAGAGGGGATTTAAATTCTCTATTTTAATATACCATTACCACTAAATTGACACTTTGTTGAGGGAATTACATGATAGGAATTCCAAATAGTAATATTAAAACCAAATTGTTATAGAAAATAATCTAAATTATTTTATAACTCAAATTTAGTTTTCACTTGGCAGCAGAAGCTTCATTGTCCAAAGCAAATTTGATCAGCTCTTCGCTTTTGCTTACTTAGAACTTCTGATTCTGTGAGTTAGGAAATTTGAAAACCACCAAATCAAACACACACCCGCACGTAAAATAAGTCTATATGGATTCTATTAAGCCTCTTTGAGACCTATTGTTTAAGCACAAGCTTGTATCATTGGTACTAAGAAATATATATATATATATATATATATATATATATATATATATATATATATATATATATATATATATATATATATATATATATATATATATATATATATATATATATATATATATATATATATATATATATATATATATATATATATATATATATATATATATATAGTGAGAGAGAGAATGACACCTTTAGTTCAGGTGGTTTGTGCTTCTTCATTAAGGTTGTGAAGATGAGAACATATGTGTTATGTTTTGATTGACAACGAATCTCGATTTCTGATTTTAGGGACTTTGAGTTAAGGTGTGAATTTTTTGTAAATTTTGAGTTTGTGATTCAGAAGAAGCAATTGAAAGAATTAGTTTAGAAAATTTCTATGTTTGGGAGGCAAGAGTTGAAATTTTGAGATTATATTAGTTTAGAAAATTTTTATTTTTTGGAAGGGAAGAGTAAAAAGTTAAAAAAAATTACAACGTCTTATAAAAATTATAAACATATCTTAAAACTATATCGGAACGGTTTATGTATTTTGTCTTTTATTGAATATAGGAGAACGGTTTTAAATATATAAATATATTAAAATAATTTAAAATTATATAAGAATGATTTTTATTTATTGTTAAAAAAGAGAATAACAAATTTTTTTCTTTATCATCTACAAGAATGTTTTTCAGCCGTTGCATATCATTTGCCAAAAATATTTATCGTCCTGCAATATTAAATTTGTTGTCTATTACATTTACAAGAACAATTTTTTTTACCTCACAAAAATTAAGCGTTGTCGTAGAGTCAATATTATAGTCCAAGGGATTTGTATTGAAGGTAACTAAAAGTATTAAGATCATTTGCTCGTAAAGTAGTCCAGCAGTTGAGATGTCCCTACAATAAGATGTGACTGGATACAACATTTACTTTTATGTCGGGTACAAAACCGAGCTAAAAATTTAATCTTTTACGACTTAACAAGTATTTTTTATAATAGTGTCACCTCCCTTGAACTAAGCTTTTTGTCTATCCAATATCAAGCTTCTCGATAATGGTGATTTTTGCATTACAAAAATGAAGACTACAAAATTATTAGCATGCAGTCGGAGGATTTACATAGTTGAGAGATACTTGAAATATGATAGCCATTAGAGGGAGTCTCCCTTCTCATTTTTTCCTTCCCCTTTTCACGTTCATTCTATGCTTATGAGAAAAACATAAAACTTTTGAGAATGTCGGTCATTAAAATAACAAGGCTTAAATTATATAAGCAATTACCAAGAAGTTTCCTTTCATTAAACAAATAAGAAGTTACCAAAATAACCTTGCTATTAAACCATATTACCAATGTAGGCCCTTTTGCTCAAATAGTGGATTTTGGAACTTTCTAAGTATACTTTCGACTCTATTAAATCTTGATTCAACTTAATTTATAGTATAAGATTAATGGGGATTTATCCAAATATCGATCATTTTAACCTTGATTCTATAATTTTATAAATTTTGGTGAATAAACGGGTTTCAATTCAATTTTTCATACGGGGATATTACAAATTATTTTTCTTGTTGGAGATCATCTACTTTCTTCCATAATTTCTTTTGCACTATTAATAAACTAAGGCATAGGTATAATAATTGATTCAATGGTATACCATAGTTCTATAATATTTGTTTAAAGTTTTTCATGATAATATTTTAAAAAAATTTCTCTGTTAAATTTAATGTAAAAGCTATTGCAACAAGCATCAAGTAAATATATGGGTGAGAACGCGTTGCAATTGAAGCCATTGAGAACACACACCTTGAACTGATCAATAATGGCTTATATTTTCTCATCCATTTGATTGAATGATCAATAAAATTCAAAGGTAAAATGTCCATTAATGTCAACGATTTATGATAAGTATTTTCACACGCATATCATAAATTGAGGAGATTGGTTTCAATGATTTTAAGACACTAAAATCACGATAACTTTATGTAATTAATTGATCAATGGAAAATTATCTCCTTTCATGGGAAATAAAAACAATGTTACATGTGATAGTTAAAATTGAGATCGATGTAAAATTATTAAATGCATTTATTTATAATTTTTATTGATAGAAGCTAAAATGATAATAATATTCGTACATTAACTTGTACAGAGGTATAAGGCTACATTAGAGTGTATTTATTTGACAACAACATATATGTCCTTGACAACTGCCACTTTTCAAACCTCGTCGTTCACATCTCTGTAAACAACTTTCATTAGATAATGGACATTCTGGTGTGTCAAAACAATCAGTCGTGATATCATCACTCATAATTTCTTCATATCTTCTTGCCCCACCTACAATCAATACAAAATTTTTTATATTGAGAAGGTGTTGTGGCATCAATTATTTTTATAAAATAATAAAAAATTATGTAGAGAATAAATAAGTATGTTACCTGGATGCAAAACTAAAGCAATACAAAGAATTGCAATGAAAAAATATACTCGGTTGATAGCCATGTTTTCTGAAAAGATGAATGGACAAACAACACCCGTAAAGTAATTATTTGTTGAATCTTCTACAGATATTTATATAACAATTATGTTTGACTGTAATAAATAAAATATATGAAACAAAGAATATATTTTAAAAAAATGAATTTACTTGATAATAAAGAATAAGTTTGTTTTGGTCTTGAAAAACAATTTTTTTCTTTGTATTTTTAAAATGATTTTAATAAAACTTTCATTTAAAATACTAAAAAAAATATTTAAAATGTTTTTTTAATTCAAATAATTAATTTTAATGTTATATAACATAAATTTATATTATATAATAATACTAATAGATAAAATCACAAAAAATTGTGTCTTAAAAACCATTTCTTCAAAAACTTATTCAAAACAGCTTCAAAATTAGTCTTGTAAAAGAAATATTTTCTTTGTATTTTTAAAATGATTTTAATGAAAATTTTATTTAAAATACAAAAACAATTTTTTTTTTGTAACATTCCATTTTGTCTAAGCATGTATGTGTATATATTTGGAATGCTAAAAAAAATTAGTAGCTAGTTAGAACTAAAGGAATTACTTAGAATATGACTAGATGACAAATTTATAAATATCACTTAGTTGAAGAACACTTTAAACATTAAGCATCTTGCATGCAATTATACGGCCTTGTTTGGTAAATGGACATTCCAAATCATATATTTGATAGTGGAGTAGAGAGAGAGAAGGAGGAGAAGCTTATGTTCATCATCTCCTTTTCCATTTCCACACACTTTAGAAAGTATCCACTAAGCAGGTAATATCTGTTTACTCATAACTCTGTTTGAGTTGATTCCAGACTTTTTGAAAATCTTACAAAATTCCTTACGTTTTGGATATACATTTTTCATTATGGATGTTTGTGATCAAGGAGATAAATGAGTTTGGTAATTGAGAATTCTTGCTGAAATGGGGAAAAATGGTATTACAGGATTGATGGTGATTGAAGTAGAACTTTGATTAAGATAGGAGTTCAATAGAAGCATATTCATCTTCCTAATCTACTTTGATGCAAGGTGAGTTCCATTATATAGGAACTTGGGGTAGGAATTGGGAATAATGCATGTTGGGATAAAGGGTTTTGAAGAGAATGCCATGAAATTGCCTCTAATGCATGAATATGATCCCCTTGTAGTACTTGTATGCATATGTACCCTTATTCTGTTTAATATGTTGTTGATTACTGCTTGCATATGGAAATTTGGAGTTTTGGAAACAAAAGTACGTAATATGCGTTTTCTGGATTTCTCAGAAAATCATAGGTCGCGCTTAACGCGCAGAATGGCTCTTAGCGCTCTTTATCAGAAATTGAGAAAAATAAAAGCTATAGGTCGCGCTTAGTGCGAAAACAGCTGCCTCGTGATTTTGAACTTATTCATGGAGTGTAGTACCATCCCTCAATGACAATCAGACACATCCCTAATCTTCTATGACTTCTATGGTATGAGCGAAAAAGGCCTTAGAGAAGCCACTTAATTCTACACTATTAATATGAGTTACATTGGAAACATATGAAATGATAAATGAAAAGGATATATATATATATATATATATATATATATATATATATATATATATATATATATATATATATATATATATATATATATATATATATATATATATATATATATATATATATATATCTTTGTTTCCATATATGTTAGGTTATTATCCCTATGTCAATTATATGATTATGTACGAATGATAAATGACACATATTCATAATACATGTTATGACCCCTTATGTCACTTGTGTGATTATTCGTGCTTAAGAAATCTATTATGTAGGGTGCTATGTTGTGATCATTCAATTACATGCTTTATGAAAATGAATGATAATGCATGTATATGATGAAGATGTATTATTTCATAAATGATATTGTATGATTATTTGTTAGTTCCAATTTTTTTCGGTTGAACGTTCATAAGTAATTGTTATGTGGCTTTATATGTCTTGTTTATTATATTGTGTTGTGTGATCTCGATAATCTACCATGATGTGTGATCTTAGTAGATGTATGCTTGAATCAAAGTAGGCCGACTACCAAGACGTAAATCACTTATGACCTCGACTAATATTGTGTGGTCTTTATTTTGTGCCATGTTGTGTGGTCTGGGATACCTTGTTATGTGGTCTAGGTATGTCATACACACTTGAGCTACTATTATGATGCGCTTGTGTGAGTCCATAAGGCGTTTCCAACAGTAGTTAATAACATCGCGTGCTTGGTATGGTGGGGTTGTGATGTCATGTAGGAAATATGACTTTGTGGATTTCTAACTTACCTCTAATGGTGCCACATAGGCAAAACTATTATCCTTTCACTAGGTGGGCTCGTGTTCTCAAGATCGCGTTTTTGTACCGGAGGATTTTAATCACATGTATTTTGATGATTGACTGGGTTGTGACGCCACATAGGCAATGTCACCATGTTAACTCGTCACGGATGGAATTCCATTTAGGAATAATCTGATTCATTGTGTTGTGAGTGGTGCAAGTCTCCTAACATGATGCACATGTGTAACTCACCGAGGGTGTGCTAATGTAACCTGGTTAGGGGCATTAAAATACTTTTGAATTCCTCGTATACGAGTATGTGTCTACATATTTGATTGTATTTGGCTATGTGTTTGCTTAATCTCATTGGGATCTCCAGGGACTACCAATGGAGATTTCCCCTTTTGTGTACTTGCACCTAGCCGTGAGGCAACCCCTGATTCGCAATGAATCCATTTTGATGCATGCACCTTTTAGAAATGAGTGAACCCTTAAGATAGGGGAACTCACTGAGATTTAGTAATCTCACCCCAATCCTCTTATTATTTTCAAGAATAAATTATAGGTAGAAGAATTACTAGATGGTCGGTTTTGAAGACTACGAGCGAGTAGATGGCACGAAGGCCTCATCAGATTTTATCTTTCTTCTGTACATTGTTAAGGACAAGTTGATTTTATACATTATGATATTCGAGTTGTGTTGTATGCGATTTTAAATTTCTTATCTTTTTCCCGCTTTTGTAGATGTTTATATGTACCATTTTTAGCATTGCTGCATATTATTCTAGATATATATGTACAATGTGTTACAATTAGTATCAGAGCAGGTCGATTCTTGTCCATGAAATGAAACATCACTAGTAATTCTCTTCTCCATCATATGTTTGTGTGTTGCTATCCCGACTTCTACTATTGTAGTATTCGGTCATTAAGCCTGATCACGTCATTGACTGCATATTCGATGGATATGATCACGGTGGAGCCACCACGAGGATGTGTAAGATCCGAAGCAACTCGAGTTAATGTATTAGAAGCCGATTGAATTGGGATAATGTTGGGTTTGTTTAGCAAAGATGGATCGTTTGACGCAAAATGATTGACAACCTAACTTTCATGGAGAGATTTGAGACAATTGGAATTCCCAAAGCTTTGATTGGACGAAGTGAACTTCCTTTAGGTCCCTGTAGCAGTGGAGGAAATTCACAAGGCACTTGAGTAGAATTGTAATAAGGGAATTTTGTAATGGAGTGAATTGTGAAACTATTAAAAATTCACGACTTAACCCTGGTTGCCAGTGATGTGTACGACTTGAGAACCAGTTGAATATAAAAGCTTTTGAGAATTTAAATAGGGAAGTCAAATCTTTCTGGTGACTCTAGTCTGGGTAGTAGTTGGATGGACAAGGTGTAAGATTCTGACTTTCTTTGGTGTACCCTAAGTGGTGATTAGTCACTAGTAAAGGATTGAAAGAATGAGTGGAAGTGATAATGTCCAATTGAGAAAATCTTGGATGCCCGATTAGTGAAGGGACTACTCTATATCCATTCTTGTAAACTTGTGATTGAGCCATAAAACTACACTTGGCTTAAGGTAATTAGATGTATAGAAGCTAGTGTCTATTTGGAACATCAGTGGGATGAACGCAATTGTTCCAGTTGTTTGGAACCATGGTATTCCTATATGGCAGAATTACCTTTAAAATCTCTTATGCATGTAATGTACGGGTAATTACGCGCATGGCATAATTGTTTGAGCTGAATTCTTACCCAGTTGTATCTGGCTTGTTGCCCTCCAAGTAAGCGGTATTCTGATGCCATGTAGGGAATATCACTTCATGGATTTCTAACTCACCTCTAATGGTTCCACATAAGCAAAACCATTAGCCTTTCGGCATGTGGGCTCGTGTTATCAAGATGGAATTTTTGCACCGGAGGATTTTAATCACATGTGTTTTGATGATTGATGGGGCCGTGACGCCACATAGGCAATGTCACCATGTTAACTTCAATTTAGGAATGATCCAATTCTTCGTGTTGTGACTAGTGCAAGTCTCTTGATGCGATGCACGAGTGTAACTCACTAAGGGTGTGATAGTGTAACCTAGTTAGGGGAATTAACGTACTTCTGGATTCCTCATATACGGGTACGGGTCTGCATACTTGATTTTATTTGGATATGTTTTTTCTTAATCTCATTGGGATGTCAAGGGACTACAAATGTAGATTTCCCCCTTTTGTGTACTTGCACCTAGCAATGAGGAAACCCCAGATTCATAGTGAATTTGTTTTGATGCATGCACCTTGTAGAATTGAGTGAACTCTTAAGATAGGGGAACTCACTGAGATTTAGTAATCTCACCCCAATCCTCTTACTATTTTTTAAGAACAGGTTATATGTAGAATAATTGATAGATGGTCGGTTTTGAAGACTGTAGGCGAGCAGATGGCAGGAAGACCTCATCATATTTTATCTTTCTGCTATGCATTGCTGAAGACAAGTTGATTGTATACATTATGATATTTAAGTTGTGTTGTAAACGATTTTAAATTTCTTGTCTTTTTCCATCTTTTGTAGATTCTTCTATGTACCATTTTTAACATCGCTGCATATTATTCAAAACATATATGTACGGGGTGTTACAGTTGGTATTAGAGCATGTCGGTTGTGTCCCTGCAATGAAACATCACTA